TAGTGTGCCACCTAGACATCCATACTGGGAAACCAAGGTACAGAGCAGAGTAGAGCCCCACAGATGCCTAGTGAATCATCTGCAAAGCAGAATGACTTTATCATGCATCTGTTTGCTCATGGAATGCCTTCCCCCCATCCTCAACTCCACCCTTCAACTGTTCAAATCCCTTTGGCCTTCCAAGGCTCTTCCCCTTATCTGCAAACACATTTCCATGAAATCCAGTCCCAGGGACATCGCTGTAAGAAGCATCAAGAGGGTAACTGTCTACAAAATGTCTAGAGGCCAAAGTTCCTTCTCCCAACTGAGAGAAGCTGAGTGAAGGGACCCAGCTGCCCAAGCTCTTCGGCACAATAGATGGATGCTGCTGCCCACCCCTCTGGAATTCAGCCTAAAATTCAGCAGGCCTCAATGTGACCCTTCAAAGCCATGTTTTTCTTAGCCTAGATGCCTGGGAAAAATCAACCACTCAATCAGTCACTCAACCCAGGCCCATTTACACTGGCAAAAAAAATTGCACTAAATAAATAAATAAACAAACAAACAAACAAACAAATAAATAAATAACAGAAGCCAATGCCACCTCTTCTTGCCCTTTCCCTCCCTACAGAGCTTGGTGCTAGCTTCAGTTCTCAGGGCATCTTGTCATTTCTTTGGGACTAAATGTCCTGCCTCAGCATTATTTCGGATAATGAGAGCCACAGTGAATTCCTGAGCTTAAAATCCAAATGTGGCCGTGGGCACAGACATGATCCACAGCTATTCTGAGCTCAGTGTGTTTCAGGCACTAAAAGAGACAGACCGCTCTGCCTGGAAACTTCCCTGTGGCCATCCCTCAGCAGATGAAAGCAATTTCAGACTTTCTCTTCCACTCCAAAACTGAAGGGTGAAAAAAAACCCTCTCCACCCCCACCACCCACCCCCAACCACCCACTCACAGATCTTGCCTGAGGGCCCAGGATATCTCTGCTCTGATGTGAGGAATAAAGCTTCTTGGAAGACAAATTTATAAAATAGCCACGTTTCCACCCCAAAACAAATCCATGCTTAGCCGTCTCTGCCAGAAGGTTTCTAGCTAATTAGAAGTCAGCCGTTAAATGGGCTTCCCTGTTTTGTCCACATTTGGTTTCTGGTGGAAGGGTACCTGATGAGATGATGGCCAGCCAGCCCATCAGGGTGTCCCTTCTTCACCTCATCCCAATCTCCCATCTGCCCCACCCCCTTCATTGCTCCCAGGGAGGCTCACAGGCTGATCTCACCAAATGTGACAGGAAGGCAGAGCCAGATGGGGGCCCAGCCACCTGGTAACAATAACAGTACCCATAGAGGCAGAAATGAGGTCACTTGGGTAACTTACCAAGCTGATTAGTATACAGAATCCTCATTGTCCCAACCCCAATACCTCCCTGCCCATCCCTTTGCCCCCAAGTACAATCAGGGACTCTGGGGTAACTGGATGAAGATACTATTCTTCTCCTCTGACTCTTACCTCCAACTCTTGGACTCCCAGCTCCAAGCAAGGCTTAGTTCAAGGTCCAGCCTTCTATAAGAGGCTTTCCTGATTCTCACTGATTAGCACTTCCTCAGCCTTTAATTACTTTCCATGTATTTTAAATCAGCAGAATAAAATCTCCTTAGGCAGGGACTACTGTGTGTGTATGTGTATATGTGTGTGTGTGTGATGTTGGGCTTAGAAAATCAGGAAGACCTAAGTTCAAAATTAAACTCAGACATTCTGTGTGACCCTAGGCAAGTCACTTAACCTCTCTTAGCCTCAGCTTCTTCATCTGTAAAATGGGGATAATAATAGCACCTACCACCAAGGTTGTGAGAATCAAGTAAGACAATATTAAAGAGCCATATAAATGCTAGCTGTTAGTATTCTTTATACCCCCAGAGTCCTAATATTTTTGTTGTTGTTCAGTCATTTCAGTGGGGCCTGACTCTTCGGGACCCCATTTGGGATTTTCTTGGCAAAGATACTGGAGTAGTTTCTCATTTCCTTTTCCAGCTCATTTTACAGATAAGGAAACAGAGGCAAACAGGGTGAAGTGACTTGCCCAGGGTCACACAGCTAGTAAGTGTATGAGGCTGGATTTGAATTCAGGTCTTCCTTGCTCCAGACCAGGTGCTCTATTTGACACCTAGTTGCCCCTAGAGCCAAGTACTTAGTAGGCCCTTAAATGCTAGCCGAACCAAATGATCTTTTAAAATGATGTCCCAGTTTTCCAAATTTTCCAGCAGTGGGTCAGCACAGCCCAGCTTTATGCAACCTTCACTCATGGAAACCTCTCTGTACAGTCACAGTGTCTCACTCAGAAATACCACAGCCAACCTAAACTGAGTCTCTGATATTTGCATCCCAGTACAGCAAGGATGGGGCAGAATGGGGCCAGCCAGAGGCCTCCCTAACTTAACCAAGTTCCCCAAAACTAGCTGTGAAAACTGTGGGACTGTGGTCAGTTTCTTAAAGAAAAGGACCCAAGAAAAGGGCAGAGGTGGGATTTGGCAGGAATAGTTTGTTTCAGTTTTAAACATTCGATGATTCTATAATAATTAGGCTGGAAACACTTTAAAACAGAATTGTTAAGCAAGGGGGAAGAGAATCACAACACCCAATGAAAGCCCTAATTTTTTCTTCTGTAACTCTGAATTACCCTGCTTCTACTGTGGGCGGGAGCCAGCCTCTAATTCCATAATAACAAGGCACAGTACTTACATACCATCTTTCATCCAGTAATCTCCAAACACTTTACAGCAGTTAATTACGACTCAAATCTACCCCCTGTGAAGAAGATACAGTATGATTGCTTCATAGTAAAGAGATAGGAAAATGGCTGTGGGGGGGTCAAAATGGGGAGATTAAGGACCCAGAAACAAGCTGGAACAACTGGAGGTCCATGGCCATCTTGACAAAATATAGGGCAAGAGAGGCTAGGGATTGGATTCAGCAGAATAATGAGTAAATGAGATACCCAAATTTGTGACATCATAGCTAGAAGGGACCCTTAGAGATGATTTAGTCCAATCCTTATCTCTTCCTTCCTCTATTCCATGGATTTAATTCAACAAACATTAATTAAGAACCTATTACTAGATACTGAGAATAGAAAAAAAAATCCTTGCCTTCAAGGGGCTTACATTCCACTGGGGTAATATACAACATGTCCCAATAAATAAATACAGGGTAATTGAAGGAAAGAGAAAGTATTAACAACTGAGGGAAGAGAGGAAGCTTCCTGGAGGTGCTAGTACCTGAACTGATCCATAAAGGTAAGGATGAGGAAACTAAGGCCCCATTAAGGTAAAGGGATTTTGCTCAAGTCACACAGGAAAGATGTTCCAGGTCTGGGATTTCAGTGTCCTTTCACTCTATCACACAAAGCAATCCCTTCTTTGAGAGCAATATCTGAGAATCTGCCTTATCAGTTTACCCATCTGCAGAACAGGATACTGTCTGGCAATGGGGAGCCCTGTAGGACAACTAATAACTTGGCCCAAGGTACCACAGAAACACCTTCAAGGTTGGATGACTGGAGCCCTGGAAGAGGCCACAGAAAAACTATCTTTTGTGGCAGGATTTGGATCTTGGAGTCATAACAATTATCCCCAAAGCTGGTGATGAGGTCTAATAACAGCAGCTCAAAGAGAGGGGGAGAAAAGGGTCATGGAATAAGAGAAACTGAACATTGGCTTTCCATAAGTAAGACTACAGAGAAGCTAAGTTTGTCCCAGAAGTTGTCAAAGAGCACTGGACCAGCAGAGAAATGTTTTCCTACCTGCTGGTGGAAAGAAACATGATACTTAAGTCAGTTAGTGATGTGTCTTGAACTGTGAAACAGATTTAATCACCTTTCCCTTGCTTTGCTTTTTTCTCCCCCATATGCCTCATTTTCAGTATCTGACCTTGATGGTGTTGATCTCTTTCCATGGAATAAAGTCCTTCCCCACTCCAATCCTCCCCTGGGGGAGAAGGGGAATAAAAACCTCAGAGTTGGCTTGGATTAAAACCATCTCCACCAGCAGCACCACCATAAAGCCTCTAACTAACGCACAGGCTTACAAGATTTTCCTTTCCAGATCACCCTGAAGTGTAGGCACCTCCCCACCCCCAGCCCACAGAGCCTCGGTCCCAGGTGGCAAGGGTGGGAAGGACCATTCATTGTAGTAAACAGAAGCCAAGAGCGGGGGGACGCGCTCAGGCCAAGAACCTGCTGATCTGGTGTCTCCTTAGTACTCCCCTGCTGGGGCCCTGCTTTGGAAGGGAACTGCTCACGGCCCAGGGCAGCTGGCACCATCAGCACCGACTGGGCAGACAACCCAGACATTAGCCAAACCAGAGCCCAGCCTAGAACTGGAAACTCAGAAAGGGCCAGGCAGCTGGAAGGATGGGAGTAGAGGAAAGGAAAGAAGGAGGGAGGAAGGGCCTGAGGGAGAAGGGGAAATGCTAAGTAGTTCGGAGAAGTTAAACAAAAGTTTCCGGGGGATTTTATGCAGCAGGAGGAAAAGTTTGAAGGTAGAGACATCTGGCTAGGACGGGAGAGTTTTCCCTGGGTCTCCTAGCTGTCCATTTTGCTGTCAAGTGACGGCACAAAATCGGTGTCTCGGAGATCCGTACCCAACTCTCCATCCTCGCTGTCTCGGGAACCAAAAAAAGCAAAGCCCTCAGAGGAGGAGGAAGTGGGGGAAGAAGCCCCTTCTCCGATCATTTCGGGAGGGGTGGGAGGCACGGAGAGGGGCGGCACAGGAAAATCACACCCCCCAGCCGAACACCCCCCCCAAAGTCATCGCACACGAATAAAGCCGGTCTGGTGCAGCCCCACCTCCCCCACCCCACCCCCGCTCTCCCCGGGGGGCCCCGCGCGCTCTGCCCAGGCCGGCTGCCAGGTCCCCGCAGAGCGGCACGCGCCGGCAGCCCGGCTCCCGGGGTCCCCTAGTTCCCCGCTCCGCCCCTCTGGCAAGCCTGGCACAAAGGCGGCGGCGGCGGGCGCGGTACTCACCGGCACAGACATCTTGGCGGCCGTCGCTGTGGGCTGGGGATGCTCCTCCACTCCCTCGGCTCGCTCTCCTCCTGCGAGGTCTGGGGGGGCGCGCGGCGGGGGCCCGGTTCCCCGGTCCAGGAGCAGCTCCCGCCCGGGGAAGCTGCGGGGCGCGTGGCGGGGCTGCTGCCGCTGCTGCTGCTGCAGGGGGCGGCGGCGGCCTCTCGGCTCGGGGCACCCCGGGCGGGTCCTCGCGATCAGAGCCCCGCGGAGGCACCGGGGCGCATCCCGAGGCTCTCCTCCCCGGAGGCGGGGGCTGGGGCTCTGCTGGGGTTGGGGCGCTCGAGCTCTCCACCCGCCCCTTTCGCTCCCTCGGGGGCCAGGGCCAGCCGCCCCAGCCCGCCCCGTGGGGGCCGGGACTCCGGGGGGCCGCGAGGGCAGGCTAGCCCGCTGCCTGGATCGGGCCGCTAGCTCGGGGTGGCTGGGGGCGCACGCAGCCCGAGCCGGTCGGTGCAACTCGGTTCTGCCTAACCCCCGTGCGCAGGCGCTCCTGCTCGGCCGCCGCCGCCGCCGCCGCCGCCGCCTCCTCCTCCTCCTCCTCCTCCTCCTCCTCCTCCTCCTCCCCCTCCTTAGAACGCAGGGCTCTGTTAAAGGGAAGAACCCTGGCCCTTTTTTTTTGACATTCAGGGGCTCACAAGAGAAACTGAGGCTTCCTTCCTTTCACTATGAGATTACATTCTTATTTGTACTGTATTGTATACAACTCGTCTGTGACAGTTGTTTGCATGTTGCCTCTCCATTAGAATATAAGCTCCTTGAGGGCAGGGGCTGTGTTTGCGCCTTTCTTTGTATTCTTCGTTCTTAGAACGGTGTAGTATGTAGTAAGTGTTGGATAATAAATACATCCTGGAGACTTTACCAGGGCTGGCGACCCCATACCACTATCGAGGCATGAGGGGGTGCGGGGGAGGGCTTTCTTTGTATCTCCAGCGCTTAGCACCCTACCTGGCACGTAGTAAACGCTTAATATATTTTTGTTGAGGTTGAAAACGGGCTGGAGAGGCAGTTGTGGAATAATGAGGAGACCTGAGGTTGATTCAGGAGCCTGCGCTTCTTAATTCAGTGAATATGCTCGGGCTGCTTGAGTTAGTGGGGGCCTGGACCTACAGCTAGAAGAGACTTTGTTCTTCTCCAAAGGCCTTAAGCGGATGGAAAGATCCAGGGAGGTTGTGACTTAACCAAGGTCACAAGAGTAAGTAGAGCCAGTATTGGGATGAATGAATGGATGGATTGGAATAAATGAATGAATGAATGAATGAATGAATGAATGAATGAATGAATGAATGAAAGAAAAAGCATTGTTTTCCATGTGCCCAGAACAGAACTAAAGGCTAGGATTACAAATGCACCTAGGTGGCGCAGTAGATAGAGCTCTGGCCTTGGAGTCAGGAGGACGTGACTTCAAATCCAGTCCCAGACACATGACATTTACTAGCTGTGTGACCCTGAGCAAGACACTTAACCCCCGATTGCCTCACAAAAAAAAAGTCCCTGTCCTCAAAGAGCTTACATTCTATAGAGTAAACAAACCCCACAGAAAGGTGATGGTCAGGGGCAGTTAGGTGGCACAGTGAATAGAACACCAGCCCTGGATTCAGGAGGATCTGAGTTCAAATCTGGCCTCAGACACATAACACTTACTAGCTGTGTGACCCTGGACAAGTCACTTAACCCTATTGCCTAGCAGGGGAAAAAAAAAGGGTGATGGTCTCAGGGAGGGGCAATTTGGTCCAGCATGTTACTAGGGTGATGAATAGAATTATAGAAGATTAGATCAATAGGGAACTAAGGCTAAAAGTTGAATTGGTTGTTGCCAGATCTCGGGGAGTGAGAGGAATTGTCCAGGACATTTGTGGAAAAGAAAGCAAGATTAAAACATAAGCTGTCTGGCTACATGGTCAGCCCCGTTTCCACTGTGCCAAGCTGTCTTAGCTTCTCTGAGGCTCAGTTTTCTCCTATGTAAATACACCAAGAGTTGTGATCTCATCCGTTTGGGAACTCCTTCCTCTCCTGGAGACCTCAGTTCCTCCCAGGCCTGATAGACAGGATTGATGAGTTGCTGAGACCCTCTTTCTGCCATGCTGCAGCACCCTCACTCACCACCCACCCACCCCCTTCCCACTTCTTAGTCTAGGAACAGGAATCAAATCAACACGGCAGAAGGGATAGTGACCGGACTTGGAATCAAGAAGACCCGGCCTCCAACATTTACTACCTCTGAGACCCTGGGCAAGTCACTTCATCTCTGTTTGCCTCAGTTTCTTCAACTATAAAATGGGAATAACAATAGCACCAGGGTTGTTGTGAGGATAAAATGTGATGTTTGTAAAGTGCTTTGTAAACCTTAAAGCCAGTTGTTGTTGAGTCAAATCAGACTCTTTGTGACCCTATTTAGGGTTTTCTTGGCTGGAGTTGTTTGCCATTTCCTTCTCCAGCTCATTTTATAGATGAGGAAACTGAGTTAAGTGACTTGCCCAGGGTCACACAGCTAGTAAGTGTCTGAGGCTGGATTTGAACTCAGGTCTTCCTGACTCCAGGGTGCTCTATTCACTGCACCCACCTAGCCCAAGCTAGCTATACTATCTGCAAAAAGAGGGAGCTGAACTATAGGGCTTCTAAGGTCCCCTCCAGCTCTGATTCTGCAATCCTATAAACACTACCACTCCCCACAAAGGGCCAATCAATTGTCCTATGCCCAAGTTTACCATTCCTGTGACTTCCCAGACTAACCCATTCCTCTTTGGCTCTTACTCCTCTATACCTCTGTGTTCTCCTCCTCTACTAGAATGCAAGCTCCTTGACAGAGATGGTCTTCCTTGCTTTTTTGCATTTGTATCTTCGGCTCAGTTCCCATCATGCAGTAAACATTTAATCAGTGTTGTTGCCTTCCCCCCACACTCACACTCATTCATGCTTTTATTTATCCTTGTAAAGACAACAAGCATTGTTATGCCCATTTTACAGATAAGGAAACAGGCTCAAAGAGGCTAATGACTTGTCCATGGTCACACAGCTAGTATCAGAGGCCAGATCTGAACCCAGATCATCTTAATTCTAGGTTCAGTCCACCATCCACTATGCCATTCTAGCATTTTCTTTATTGATCCCTCAGTAATACAGGACAGGAAGGTGGAGTTGTAATTCATTGGATCACAGGAGTTAGAGCTGAAAGGAAATATAGAGATTAGACAGTAGAACCCCTCATTTTACAGATGAAGAAACGGAGGCAGGAGAGAGTATGTATGTGAGGTGACTTGCCCGAGATCACACGAAATAGATGTGCCAAGCCCAAGAAATAAACCCAGATCAGCCGGCTCCAAATACTCTCCACAATCCTCCTCCTGCTTCAGAGATAAATTTTTCATCAGCTAGCTACATACGAGAATGGAGGAAGGCATTATCATCTCTGACCTGCTTGTCTCTTACAAGTGGGAAACCTCTGATCTCTTAATCCAGCTCCTTTGAGGCTTTGTTTTTTCAGAGCAATTGAATTGTAAAATCCCTCCTCCCAGGTGAGGGGGTGCATAACAGTGCAGGTTCCTGGGAAGTGACATTACCTGGGCCACCCAGAGACACTTGTGGTTCCTATATTTGTCATCAGGAAACTGAGGAGGTCCCTGTAGGTGGCTTCAGTAATTGCTGGGAGCCCACCGTGGTGTCTTAATCTTTTGAATGTCCACTTAGGCATTTAATGGTGCAGGAGAGGAAAAGGGCCACCGCTTGGTGTGTTTTTCTTCAAAGAGGATTAGGGTAAATGAAATGAACCTATGGTATGTTAACCAACATTTGATTCCCTTAGGTACGCAGGCTTGGCCCTACAGGCCAGAAGTCCTGCTTCACCTGGTCCAGTAATTATGCCCCAAGTCTCAGCCAATGGGGGAGGCAGAGCCCTGCCCTTAATTATGCTGCACAATCCCAGAGGGGAAATTGCCTTCCTGGCCACAGCTGCTGATCAACGACTCTGTGAGGCCTAAAAGCCCTTTGAAATAGTCTGTTGTCTCGGCGACTATGAGTAATAGACATTTTTCCTCTTTCCAGACCTTCTCTCTTGTAGTCCCACCTACTTTCCCTAGGGAGAGGAAATTTGAGAATTTCTCTGGCTGATAAAGCATCATTGCACCATCATCGATTAATTGAATATTCACTGAGCACCCACAATGCAGTGGGCCTTGGCTTTAATAGGCTAGGTACCTGTCAGGAATAATTCAAGTACCACACTGCCTGGAGGTACGAGGATGGATTTGACGAGCTTACAGGGATCTTTCCCAATTCCAGAAGTCTGAACTTTCCTGCCCCTTGCTGCTGGATGCTTTAAACTACCTGACCTGAATAACCCAGAGGTATATCAACCTGATTTCCAGCTTCTCTTTCTCTTCTCTGGAAGATGAATACCAAGAAAAGTGGTCCAGGACAGCACTACGTGGCTAAGTGAGAAATCCTCAAAGCACTAGTTTGAAATCGGTCATGTTTATTTCAGAACAAGAGCCTAGGAAAACTGATAAATGCTTCTGGGCATCCTGCTGGGGGTTGGGAGGGAGAAAAGAAAGAAATTATTTTGAAGAGCGTGGACAAAGCTTTAGGGAATTCTGACTCTGTCTGGATACAGCTGGGGTCAAGACTGATTACGAACTACAAATCTCAAATTGCTTGGGAACCCTAGTCCCTTTCTGACTCATTATGTCCTTTACCCTCAGGCAAAGTGCAAAGAAGTTACCCCCTAGAGAAAACTTCAATTATTATAATATGGACCGACTCAACTGAGTTCCTTCTCTGGCCTCTCTTCTGACAGTCTTTCTCTGTCTCTGTCTGTCTCTGTCTCTCTGTCTCTCTCTGTCTCTCTGTCTGTCTATCTCTCTCTCCCTATGTCTCTGTCTCTCTCTCCAAACAGATGTAGTTGGGAGCCCCTTCCATTTGAAGATTACCTCTACAGTGGATCAAATGAGAGAACATTATTAAAAAACACAATGCCTGAAGCATAGTAGGCACATATAAATGCTTATTTCTCTCCCTCCATTGAATTTTAAAAATTTTTAAAAATTTTTATTTATTGGAGGCAATTGGGATTGTGACTTGCCTAGGGTCACACAGCTAGTAAGTATCTGAGGCTGGATTTGAACATCCTCCTGACTCCAGGGCAGGTTTTCTATTCACTCTCCATTGAATTTTGAAGGGTTTTCTGTCTAAGTGAGTTTCTGATTAAAATGTATCCCTCATCCCAGAAAAACTGAGCAAATGCCAATACTGTGGGAGGGAAAACACCTTAGTTATCTTACCCCTTTAGGGGGGATTAGTTGACAGCTAGCACAAGGAGAGAGGGAAAAGCTAAAAGGCAGCCAACAGAGAATTCTATCTTTGGAATTTTGTCCCCGCACACACTGTGCCCTGGTCATTGGAATGAGATGACCGTTAATCTCCGAACCAGAAACTGGGTACATGGTCTGATAAAGGCTATTCCATTTGCCAAGTCTTGTTAATAATCCATTTTCTCCCCT